CTCAGGTCATGATCCTGGAGTCCCGGGATCGAGTCCCACGTCGGGCTCCCTGCTCAGCATGGAGTCTGCCTCTCTCTCTGACCCTCCCCCCTCTCATGCTCTCTATCTCATTCTCTCTCTCAAATAAATAAATAAAATCTTTAAATAAATAAATAAATAAATAAATGTGATTTTTTTTCAGAAGTTGATTTTAAACACTATTCTAGTCTGTTCATCATCTGAACTATTAATTGTAATAAAAATTTACTGCTAATAAAAAAAAGAAACCAAATTGCAGATAAAGTGGATGGTCAGAAAGACTGCTCCATAAATACACGTGGAGTACACAAACAAGAAATTTAATTCAGTCATTCATTTTCTGCCCTGCTTATTTCTGGTAAATTATTTGAGGCAGCTTAAAATAAAAGCACAGGGTACCTGGGTGGCTCAGTCAGTTAAGCATCTGCCTTCCGCTCAGGTCATGATCCCAGGGTCCTGGGATCCAGTCCTACATCGGGCTCGCTGCTCAGCAGGAAGCCCGCTTCTCCCTCTCCCTCTGCCTGCCGCTCCCCTTGCTCGTGCTCTCTCGCTCTCTCTCTCTCTGTCAAATAAATAAATAAAATCTTTAACAAATAAAAATAAAACAAAATAAAAGCATACACCAATGGAAAATTCAAAAAATTTTATAACCCAAGGGTAAATAATCTTAATACTTGAAAATTCATACAAATCAAGAAATGAATCCCTAGTATCACCTAGATTAACAAGGACAGGCGATAAACACAAAAGTTTATAGGAGAAAATAACTTAACATGGAAAAATGCTCAACAGAGACATAAGAATTTAAATAGCAACCAAAAATAACCTATTAAAAATGTCAGATTAGCAGAAGATGGTGAAACTGGCACTCTCATATATTATAGTTAGAAACATGGCAAATTAAAATTAATTCAGAGATCAATAACTGTTAAAACTGGAGGAAAAACTGAAGAGAGGAGTTAATTTTGTCACGAACTCAAAAATGAGACAGAGTGTTCCCTTAAGCAACAGATAGAATCCCGAGCTTCCTAGCAGCCACTGCGAAAAAAAGAACACAGCTAAGAGAACTTACCCCCAGGACCTCCAGGAGAGATCAGTTTTGTTCACTAGGCTGACAAGGAACTGCATGAGTCCTAACACAGGGCCTTGAGTCACGGAATTAGACAAGGTTTCAAGGGTAATACAACAGCCAGCTCAGCTGCAACTAAGCTTATTTAAAGCAACACACACACACACACAAACACACACACACCCATGACTCTACAGCTCTGCGCTGGCTGAGAATGTGCCCTCACTCACCCACTCCCCAGCAAAGAATGAATTCCCTGAAAACGCCCACCCCTGCCGGGCAACCGAGGGCTGCCGGGGAGAAGCAGCCTCTCCCCCTTGCCTGCCTGGCTGACCTGCAGGGCGCCCCCGAGGCTGACTCGGGCCCCAGAGCCAGTCATCTGCACATGCGGCCCCTCAGTAAAGGAAGGTCCACAGTGGAGCTTGGCACTGCAGAGACATGGCAGCCAAACACCCCCCACCCCCACCCCCTGGCTCAGTTCTGAATGGCTCCCTGGGCTGGAGAGGGAGGGAGTGTGGAAGGGAAGGGGCCAGCTCTGAATGTGTGGGATAAAGGAAGTAGAGGCGCAGAGCGCCGCCCCAAGCAGAGGAAAACAATCACCTGAGCGTGACATGGCGAAAGCAGCTCCTTGCCCCCGTAGCTGCCCTGTGCCTCAGTTTCCGCTTCCATAAAATGGGGAGAATATTCACCTCACGGGTTGTTGCGAGGATTAGAAGAGTTCTCCAGGTAAAGTGCTTAGAGCAGTGCCTGGCACCCCATCATTGTTATAATTCTTGCTCTGGGCACACTTGTGTGGATACCCCAGATTTAAGCAACATGTCTCCTGGAGGGGCTCATGGGGCAGGGGGTGCGACAGGAGAACTTTCTGAACTTCTTAATCGCTGTGTAACCCTCAGCCTAGAGCCAAGCAACGAGACCAAGTATTAGTTCATGATGGATGGTTCATGCTAGTCACAGCCCTGCCACTAAATCCGGCCCTTGCTCCAGTCTGGGGCTCAGTTTGCTCACCTATAACATGAAGTGATGGGACGAAAGAATTCCTAAATTTGACTATACCTCAGAACCGCTTCAGGACATCGTAAATGCAGATTCCCAGGCTCTGGATGTGGAGACTGAGAATCTGCAGTATTTAACGCACTCTTCGGAGGATCCAGACGTTCAGTCCGATTTGAAAGCCCCCAACGAGATGAGCTCTGAGGCCCCCTCCGACATTCACACGCTAACCGTAGAGACTCGGAGAAGAACGGGGCTTGGCATGGCCGTGTGCCTCGAGGTCCGGGGCAATGGCCGTCACCGGTGAGAGCTCCAGACGTCATGCTAGTGCCCTTGGCGCTCTTCTAGCAGTGAATCATGCCCAGAGGCAAGAAGTTATACTTTCTGTCTAATCAAACACTCCATCGCAGCCCTCTACCTCCCACTCTGCGGGTTTTGCTCGTGGGGTTGTAGGAAGGAGCTGGTGGGTGCCTTTCAGCACAACCCCTTGTGAACCTGAGGGCTCCTGAAGTCGGCCTGGTCCTGCCAATACCCCTGGTGAGATGGCTCTTGACCTTGGCCCTTCCTTTCCATTCCCACTGCTACCGCCCTAGTGCAGGCTGTTAATACCTCTTGTTTGGACCATGTGACAGTTTCCTACCTAATCCCCTGCCCTCCAGTCTCTCCCCTCTTCAAGCTTCTCTCCACGGTATCAACAGTTACTTCTGATTGCATTATGTCTCTAGCACACAACCCTCCACATCTGCCAAGCCTAACTCCTCAGACTGTCATTCAAGGCCTTTCAAAGCCTAAACCAACCCACATTTTTGCTTTCATAGCTTATTACATTTCTCTTCCATAACCCCCTCTGGCCAAGAGCCACCTTGGGCTACAGTTAACTCTCTTGAGTTTTTTTGATAGAGGGTTTCCCAAACTTGTATACCGTGGAACTCTCTCTCCCTACCCCCTGTCTATATTTTTTTAATTTATTTTGGGAGAGAGAGAGAGAGCACTCGCAGGCGGGGAGGGGAAAAGGGAGAGAGTCTTAAGCAGACTCCACACTGAGCACTGAGTGCAGAGCCCGACGCAGGGCTTGATCTCAGGATCCTGAGATCATGACCTGAGCTGAAACCAAGAGTCAGAGGCTTAACCTTCTGCACCACCCAGGCGCCCCTACCCCTGCCTATTTATCGTGGCAAAATACCCATAACATTTCACAGATACTAAGTGATTCATCGTACTCAGTTTGGGAAACACTCCTCTATGCTTTTCCATCTGTTTGTCAACGGCTTGACTCTCTATTCTAGAATCTGCTCAAATCTTGAATTCCAACTCAGAACAACCACCTAATGTTGTCATGCCTGCTCTCTCTCCATCTGACTGTTTCTGAGACCGCCACGGTTCTACAGAGGTCTGAAAGCTAGAACACTACTCTCTTCCCACCCTTATTCCTTCTTTGCCTTCCTTCCTGAGCTGGTACCACCTTTCTCCCAAAAGCTGAATTGCTCAAGGTCTATCTTGATTTACTTAAGTGAGCATAGTTGACCATTCAACCATCTGCGTTTTCCCAACTTCCAAATAAACAGCCTCCTCTTCTCCTTAGCAACTCCAGCAGGTGAATATCCACCTCTCCTGGGGTAAATATCTGCCTCTCCTTGGCCTGCTCCCTTTCCTGCATCTAGGACAGACATTGTTGATTGATCACAGCACTTGCTCCTAAGTCCCAGATGGGAGGGTAGAGATTCAGAATCCTTCTCCAACACCACTCCCCGGGCAGGTATTATCCATCAATCAGAGTTGGCATGCCAGTTGAGACAGTCCTACTTACCATCAATGACCTAATTGATTAAATAGTGAATGTGTTTACTAGAAAAGGTCTGTTGAGTTTCAATTTCAACTCCCTTATGGAACCTCAAACTAGAGTGGTCTCTAGTTACACTCCATCTACTCCAAGCCTTTCAGGCTAGAGGATCTGGGTTGTGGGTAAGGATCTATTAGAAGTCTAACTTGGCATAAGACCTGGAATAAGACTGCCAAGGTCGGACAGGCTTCCACTAACAATAGTCCTGGAGCATTGTCCACCTCCCATGTCTTTCTCATGACAGACCCCACAGAAGTGTCTGGTGAGCTGGCTCGTCTCTAGACATAAAGAAGAGCACCTGAGAGGCTACAAAACAAATGACCAACTACCCCTAGAAAAACAACTCTCCGGGGCAGACTGCAATTGGAGACGCCTTCGATGTCCCAGAGCACCAGCAAGGTTTTCAACTTGGCCTGAGCTGATGCAACCATCAGCAATGGAACCATGTACAGTGGAAGGACTGATATCTTTGGTCCGATAACAGGCTGCTCCAGTTTCTTCTCTCTCCTCCTCCCCCTCCTCCTCCAAGCTGATCACATTTCCTTGGTGATTTTCATGCTTAGTCAGTAGGTCTTAGGGGACAAGTACGAATTCCATAGGGACCTTGTCTGTATACAGTACTCTGTACTAATGTTATCCTCTGTATCTTCCTTCCTCCCTTCCTGCCGTAAGCGTTTATTAAACACCTACTATGTGCTATGTGGCGAGCACCGCTGTAGAAAAGAAAGCCCTTGAATTCGGACTGGAGCCACCAGGAGAGGCTGTGTATTAAACAAAGATAATGCTACTGCTGTGATCAGCAGAAAAATGCATTTCAAGTTGTTTCCTCTCTTCTCTAGACCTCAAAAGAGCTATAACTGTGTGGGAGAAAACTGAGACCCTGGAAGCTACAATGCAGGAATTCCAAGGAATGCTACAAAATCATGAAGAGCCCCCGTAGGTTGAACAAAGTTCTCAAATCCAGGATACTATAAATAGAGATGAGCGGAACACTTCCTAGCCTTGACTTATTGCCAGGGACTATTTTAATTGTTATATAGTCACTCCCTAAGTCCCTAAAATAGCACTAGGAATTAAATACTCTTATTATCGTCACTTAAAAGATGAGAAATCGAGGCGCGAAGAGGTTAAAGGTCTTGCCCAAGGCAGCAGCTAAGAAGTGGTGGAGCTGGGATTCAAACCTGTGTCATCTCTTTGCAGAGTCCTAAACTACCTGAAATATGGACATTTACATCAACAGAGTGCTAATTTATGGATCAGAGTGGGGTGGGGTGGATCACTGGATGAGCTTTTTATCCCCAGACTTCCTAGCAGTTAGAGACAGAAAGGTTTTGATAGATGGGAACACAGGGTGCCTACCATCCCTGCCCCCCATACTTTTAAGGAAGGCTTCTTAAAGGCTAGCCATGCCCCAGACCCACCCACATCTCCTAGTGTGTTCCTGACAGCAGACTGGGGCCCCAAGTGCCTGACCTGAAGTAAAATCTTCATGTTCTCAAATGCCACACATGGAGACAGACTTGCATGGGTCCCTTTATGTACTAGCAAATTCTATTTCTGCCTGGAAAACCACATGATGTAACTGGTACCCATTGCAGCAATGTCACTGGTCCTAGAAGCCCGAAGCCCTAACTTCTAGACTGGACTCTACCACCTACTGTCCCTTGATGAGGTTTTTTTCACCTGTAAATATTTATTCATTCAGCAAACTGTTTTGAGCCTTTCCACCGTGCCAAGCACGGAGCCCTAAGCCCTGAAACCACTAAGTTGAATTCAATAGTTGCCCCCAAGGAACTCAGGATTTGCTGGTAGAGACAGACCAGGAAGGGGATACTTCTGACACACGGTGCCCTCCCCGGAGCTCCTGAGAGCAAGGGAAGGCCTCACTCACCCTGCTCCTCCCCCCAGGGAATTTGTGAGGCACAAATGAGATCATACAGGGGAAAGCTCTTTGTAAATAGGAGAGGGTGAGAATGAGGTGTGAGGGGAGGCAGAGGGAGAGGATTTCGACCCAGATGCTGTCTGCCACATCTGCAGACCTTGGGCAGGCAGCTGGCCAAGCTACTAAGTGCTCGGCCTGGGGCCGTGAACCTGGGTGGGGCCTCCTGGATGCGAGAGGACCAAGCCTGAAGCTCTGGGCTCATTATCCCAACAGGCCAAGCCCAAACCTTGCTGCCCAGGCCAAGCAGCTCTGGGCTCTGTCCTGGCAAGAACCTAAACCTATGGATATTACTTTGCTTGGGGATTAAAGGTTTTGTCACCCCCCTCCCCACCCCGCTCCCTGACCTCTCCAGGGTCCCAGCTTGAACAGATCTTCCCTCTATTGTGCAGCTGGAGAAGCCCTATTTCCATGAATCCTTTTATATAATGAGAGAGCCCCCAGGAACGATGGCCAGAGGTGACGCCAGCCACTGCCGTTCGCTGTGCTGAAGTGCCACCTGGAGGCCAGTCCTAGTTCAAACGAATGGGTAGGTAATGCTTTCCAATCGGCCTCAGCAGGGGAAACAAGAGGAAAAGAGATGCTCAGGCAAGAAAATGGCAGAGGACCCCTAAGAGGACCCCATCAGTCCCATCACCAGCCCCGCATTGTCCACCGGTAAGACAGACATTCGAGGGCTGAAATGTCCCAGCTTTTCACTGAGACAGGCTCTCCTCCATGGCCAGGGACCCGTGTGAGACCACCACTGTGTCCCACAGATTCTAAAATCTGGATCCAAAGAGAAAACATGCAAGAAAGCCCTCCAGTTTGCCCTGCAGTCCAGACCGCAACCCATCTGATCTCCTATCCCACACTTCCTACTCTCTGGCTAGCTTGGCAAAAGGGATTTTCAGTGGATAAGGCCTCCTTTTGGGGAGAGTTTGTTGATTCCCCTTACATTTCTGGAATCAGCTACCCTACACCAAGCAGGAACACACATTTATTGTGAGCCATTTATTCAGTAGTCACTGGATGAATCTATAAAGACATCAACAATAAGCCAAGAGTTCAAAATCAGCATGGAGTTATTTTTGCCTGAAGAAAATCCAAGCCAGATGGTAGCAGAGTATCAGGAAAAGTAAGCCAAGCTCCCAAACTGAGCAAGGAGGTTTAAAAAAAAATCCTCTTACTTTAGGTTTTTCTGCTCACTCCTTTGCCAGACCAGCAATTTAGCTTCCTACCAACTGGGTTTACTGAACTCTTTAGTATCATTGGAAAACAAGATACATAAAGTATTCAAGGTCTCGTTGTTCATCAAAGCATCCTAGTCCACACTGTTGGGGACAGCAGCTGTGCGCACCATCCAAGGAGTACCCTCAGAGGCGACAACATGTCTTTGCCTGCAAGCGGCTGCTGGTCCCTCTTCAGGCCGGTGACAATTCAAACAAGGGGCACCCTTCAGAGTAAACCCGGAGGAGACTTGGGGAAAACTAGAATGGGGTTTGAATCTATTAAAAAGCCTACAGCTATCCCTCACTGACGGGCCAAAGGGCCCAGAGAAAATGAAGTTGCTGTTTCCTTTAGCCATACTCCCAAATAAGTCAGATTTACTAAAACTGAAGGGTTTGCTTCTCCACAGTAGAAACAATTCCACTTGGTGCTTACAGCAGTCTTGACGTGAGATCTTGAGGTGAGTAGTATTATCATTGCTGTCTTGCAGAGAAGGAAGCAGAGGCCAAAAGAAGTTGAGTAATCTTCCTGTAAGCAAAGTAGCCAAGATGTGAACCAAGTGTTCTGCTTCCAGTTCTCCCAATACCATCAACTACCATGGCATGAAGCCAACATATTAAGTACTGAAGAGAATATTCTGAAAAGCAATCCGGTTTGCCATAGATTGTTGCAAGAATTCTTACACAATCATTAGAACTATGTTACAGGGTGGAATGTGTAGACCAAGGAAGACCCCCACTGAGGAATAATGCTCACTGGAAGTCAGCTCACACAATACACTTCCTGGGAGGCTCAGAACTTCTGGACTGAACAACAACAAAATTCTCCTTTTTTCCCCACTTCCTTCCTTTCATTTAAGCCAGACAGGCTCTTTGTCCCCTCTAAAGTCCCATGCACATGTTTATAATTATTCTTGAGAAATGATAAAGTGAGTTCCCTCTTGGGAGAGTTAAGAAGAACCGCTAAACAATTGGAAAAAACAAACACAATGGGGACAGTGATGAGGGCGGGTCTATGCACCTGGAAAAACCACAATAAAATGCAGAGCTGGAAGGGGCCTCTGAGAGCACCTGATAACAGTCCAAATTCTCTTTGGGCAGAAGACACTGAGACCCAGCAGTCAAGTGACTTCCCAAGATCATGTGGTCAGTGAGAGGCAGAGCTGGTCAGAATCCCAGTCCCACTGACTCCTAGCTGAAGGCACTTTTCACTTAATCATTGTTTTAGGAGACTGTCTTATTTCTAAATAAAATCCAGCTAGCAATCCAAATCTCCAGCACTACCCCTGAAATGACTCTTTGGGGAAACTGTTGACATTCCCCATCTTGAGCTGTCCTGGATAGGGAAAGGAGGGGAAGAGAAAGGAAAGAAAGGGAAAGGAAGAAGGAACTTTCCATCCTGAGTGCCCGTAACAATAACTAACAGCAGCTAAAATTTATTGAGCGCTGTGCTGGGCACTGTGCTTAGTACTTTATATGTATTAGCTCGTCTAATCCTCTCAACAACTGTACCAGGTAGGCATGATTATTTCCACTTTACAGATAAAGAGGATGTGGCCCAAAGGACCTCAGGCACTGGCTTAAGCTCCCACAACTGGTAAGAGTAGTAAGGACCCAGCTCTGTCCTACATCAAAGCTAGTGCTCTGAACCAACGACTTTTAAAACCATATGGTTGGGGCTCAGTCGGTTAAGCGTCTGCTTTTGGCTCAGGTCATGATCTCAGGGTCTTGGGATCGAGCCCTGCATCAGGCTCCCTGCTCAGCGGGGAGCCTGCTTCTCCCTCTCTCACTCCCCCTGCTTGTGTTCCCTCTCTTGCTGTGTCTCTCTCTGTCAAACAAACAAACAAACAAACAAACAAATAACCATATGGTAAATGCAGGGCCCAGGGAAACTCAAATTTTGGCCAACCACAGGGAATCCTCATGCACCGTCCTGCTGTCCCTGCCGAAAACTGCAGCCCCTGCCTAGCTGAAAGGGGGCATTTCCACCCTGGTGGCAGACTGGGGACTTGAGTTTCTTCCTTCTTCTGCCCAGACTTTTTAACTGGGAGGTTGGGGAAGAGTAAGAGGAGCAGTAAGGAAGGAAACATTCAAGACTGGAGGTTTTAGTAGGGTAGAAAACAGGTTTGTTTTATAAACCAAAGGTATTCTAAAAGCCACACGCTGCCTTCAAGAGCTACAGAAGAAATTCTATGCCATTCTGAAACTCTTCCACCACCCTCAGCAACCATTTCGCTAACAAGTCTTGCATCCGCTAGAACTTAAGACATAAGAAAGGAGTTCAGGGCAAAAGGAACCAGTCATCTCTCAACTGGAGTTTCTCTTTATAAAATCCCTTTCCCCAAGTGAAGAAAGTAACGTACCCAGCCAGCTCTTAGGGCCCTCTCTAAATGAAGGCTGCCCAAAGGAAGGAGCACTGAACTGAGACTTTCCACAGGGGAAGCTCAGAAGGTACTTTTCAAACTTCTTACCTCACTGGGTATTAGTCTTTCAAGCTCAAGGGACCTTTAGGAAACAGTACACCTTTGGCAGGTGAGACGGGCAAGTAAGGTCTACAAAAAGTGTGAGAAAATGCCAGTGCTTATGGAGGAGTGGGCCCAGAAGGGAAAACTCCTGCCAACATGATGCATTGCTTTTTCTCCAGATCTGCTGTTTATTGCAATTTTGTGCTTCACCAAAATTCTCAGCACCACACACTTGAATCTTAACCTTCAAGTTCCTTGTCAGTGAAAGCGTATCAGTGTGGTCCCCGAGCCACCCCCAGGTTACAGGTATAAAGAACAGGGCCCGAGAAGCAGCAGTAATTCACTGTTTGACAACAACCGTATTTCTTCTCTGCGTGGTTTCCGGCATAGAGCATATACTCGTGCACTTGGCTCTGGTGCTCACCCAGAAGAATAAATAATTCAAGCCAGCCTCGATCACTGCCAACCTTAACCACATGCCTATTGTTTTTGAGACAGAGGAATTCGCATCAGCTTTGATGGAGCATTTAAAAGGTACACTAAATTAAACTACTTGATCTGGCACATAACTCAAGAGCGACCAGTCATTCCACACACGGTATTATACTTATGGTGGTAAAAACCTGGTTTCTTCTTGGGAGAGAAGAATAAAATAGGAACTTAAAGGCACTTACTCTTGAATGCTCCAAATACCCTGCTTCTTTGTTCCCAGATGCACTCAACTTAATGGGTACGCTGTAAACACGCAGCAGCTTCTTGCGTTCCAGCGTCATTCAGAGCTGTGGTTGGGGAGGCTCATGACATGTGTGCCAGGCGTCAGAACGACAAGCAAGCCGGCCAACGTTCGTCGGTTTCATCTCCAGTTTCTCTACAGGGCTTTTCAGTCTAGAAGGCACCGACCCAGGGGCAGAAGACAATGTGGCTCAGTACACAGAACACGGGCTTTGGAGTACGTGGCTGTAGGCAAATCACCTAGCCTGAGTTATAAGAAAATTCTGCCAACCTGGCTGGGTTATTGGAAGACGGTTCGTGTGTTCGGGCTGTCATAACAAGATACCACAGACGGGGTGGCTTACGCAACAGCTTTTTGCACAGTTCGGGAGGCTAGAAGTCCATGATCAGTATGTCAGCAGGTTTGATTACTTCGGGACTCTCCCTTGTTGGCCTACAGAGGGCTGCCTTCTTGCTATGTCCTCACATGGGCTTTCCTCTGTGAACATGCATGTCTAGTGATTAAATTTCTTCTTATAAGGACACCAGTCATATTGGATTAGGGCCCACCCTGCAGATCTCATTTTAACTTCATTACCTCCTTAAGACATTATCCAGTCACATTCTGAGGTACTGGAGATTAGGGCTGCAACATCTGAATTTGGGGGGCACCCAGTTCAGCCGGTAACAAAGACTAAATGACAAAGGTGATAAGAGGTCACATTTTTCCTGTCTTTAGCATAAAGAAAAAACTTGTGCTTTGGAATCATAAAGCATTACTTTTGGGCGCCTGGGTGGCTCAATCAGGTAAGCATCTGCCTTCTGCTCACGTCATGGTCGCAGGGCCCTGGGATCGAGCCCTGCGTCGGGCTCCCTGCTCAGCAGGGAGTCTGGTTCTCCCTCTACCCTTCCCCCCTGCTCGTGCTCTCTCTCTCAAATAAATAAAATCTTTAAAAAAAGAAAATAAAGCATTACGTTCAGCTCCTTGTTCTATTGCTTGGCTAATTATATAAATTTGGGCAAGTTGATTGTCTCATCATCTGTAAAATGGGAATAAGAGTATCTCCCTCAAAGGGATTGTTGTGAAGATCAAGTGCTGAAGTGCTTAACATACTGGAAGGGGTAGGCAGAATGTAGTTGCTATTACTGCATTATTTCTTCCTAGCAATAATTGTGACTAATGCTTCCTATTAGCCTCTTTTTGTCAAAGTACTTTGGCAGCTAGCCTTGGTGATGGCCGGTGAACCAAATAAACAAAGTGAGAAATTTCTGTCCTAGGGATTTCAAGAAACATTTCTTGGTTGGCTGAATAAAGACAACAGCAGAGGTGGCAGCTGAAATTTCCCCCAATGGAGCCTTACTACAGCGATTACACAAGTCCAGCATCAGACCGTGTCCCTCCCAGTATGATGACCCAGGCTCTTCCTCTTCCCTTAACCTAGCTGATGACAGTTTCTCTTCTAACAAAAGTCAAAGGCAGCCCATCCGGAGAGCTCTGGCCAGAAAAACAGCAGGACTAGAAAACAAGCCGCATGCTACCAAAAACTCCACCATGCCAGTGAGCCCCTTTAGGGCAGGGGTTGTTGGCTGAGCTGAAAAGGTGTTTTAAATCGTTGCTTCCAGTCAGGAAAGCCTCAAAGGACAAAAGCCCGGTTCTCAGTTTCGACCATTTCAAACCAGCAAGAATAAAAGGAACCTCCAGAAATGAGTAAGACCAATCCCCACCATGACACATAACCATGTCATTACATGGTCATTACATGGTTACAGCACTGTTCCTCTAACAGGGGTCTGCAGATCTGTGCCTATCCATAAACTATTTGCTACTGGTCCATGACAAAGCACAGAAATCAAGAGTAACATTTAGAAACTTTAGCAGCAGTTTGACAGTAATTTTACATCCGTTAAATCTATAATAAAAATTTTATGGTTATTTTTGTCTTATTTCATTTTTCTAGAAATTCATTCTTACTGTATCTTACAAAAGTACTGGTCCATGGCCACTAGTCCAGCAGCACAGACAGCTTCAGCGCTGGGTTACAAGCTTCTAAATAGCTGGGTGTGAACAACTCTCCTAATTCAGCACGATGTGGCTACTTGGGCTCCAGTATATACCCCTCCAAATAAAAACATACAGTAAAAACCATAGCATTCTTCTTCATTCCACCTTGAGAAAAAAACGGTAGTCTGTTTTCTTATCAGGAATATAATAAAAACCAGCTTCCAGGATACATTCCAGTCCAAACTTCACCATACTGGAAGTCATCAATGTCCAGAGGACATTTTTCTTCAAATATTTCTGAAGACCCCAGCACAATACTCTGTTCAGAACTAGAAGGTATCAGTGGGGACAATTCTGAATGTGAGACAGAAAATCGGGATTCAAGTCCTGGCTTTACTGCCTAAAAGCTTTTTGACATCGTGTAAGTGATAATCTCACCAAGCCAAATTCCTTAACTACAAAAAATGGAGATTAAAGTTATCTGCCCAATCTGTATCTTAGGAGTGTTCTGAGATTCAAGTAATGTCTGTGGAATGTGTCCCGTTAAGAGAAGAACATGATGGGAATGGGACGAGTACTGTGGGCCCAGCCTTCAAAGAATAACTAGGAGCTTTTGACAGACCCAAAAGAAATAGTTCGGGGGCGCCTGGGTAGCTCAGTTGGTTAAGCGGCTGCCTTCGGCTCAGGTCATGATCCCAGGGTCCTGGGATCGAGCCCCGCATCGGGCTCCCTGCTCAGGGGAGTCTGCTTCTCCCTCTCTCTGCTGCTCCCCCTGCTTGTGCTCTCTTGCTCTGTCAAATAAATAAAATCTTAAAAAAAAAAAAAAAAGAAAAATAGTCCCTAATATAGTACAGTGTGGAAGCTGACCGGAATACTGACATTCTTCAAATATTTTGTTAATTTTGATTTAGAAAATGATGCCTTCAGGGTACCTGGGTGGCTCAGATGGTTAACTGGCTGCCTTCGGCTCAGGTCATGATCCCGGGGTCCTGGGACCCAGGCCGGCATCGGGCTCCCTGCTCAGCAGGGAGCCTGCTTCTCCCTCTGCCTCTCCCCCTGCTGTGTTCTCTCTCTCCCTGTCTCTCATGAATAAATAAAATCTTAAAAAAAAAAAAAAGAAAGAAAATGATGCCTTCAAATCTTTCCCTGTGTAGAAAGTACTCTTATTTTCTCATGAACTATTAAGTGTGTTTGTTTCCATCCATCCCGCCAGGCATCTAGCACCATGGCGGACACAATGAGGGAGGCAAAGAAGAGCACACAGCACTGGCCGTTGGAAAGCCGAGGGCTGCAGGGTGTTCCGATGGCAGGCTCCAGACAGTATGTGACTCAAACACAACAGAAATGAGAGAGGGGAAATAACTTATACAACTCTTTGGGGACCCCCTCAAAGGACCACAAACTTAAAAATACACCATTTCCCTCCTATACTTCAAGGCAACAGAAGACGAGAAAATCGTAATGTATTTTAGCTTTATTGGAGACATATTACAGTAGACAAACAGGTAGACAAACACATGCCTTATAAAATATACATTCTCATGTGTGAGAAAATATAAATAGATACTAGGAAAGGACCACACTGAACAACTTGGCTTATAACTCTCTTTCGGTACATCTAGTACCAGGGCTGCTCAGACTGACCTCCTCTGATGGGAAAAAGGGGGAACAGAAGAGGGTAGAAATAAGTCTCTCTATCGATCAAGAGGCCACTTTAAGTAGCCAAGAGATACTCCAAGAGCACTTGACCACCTGATGATCAATTTCTCTTTCTAAAGATTTATTTATTTGAGAGAGCGAGAATGAGAGAGAGAGAGTACATGAGAGGGGGGAGGGTTAGAGGGAGAAGCAGGCTCCTTGGTGAGCAGGGAGCCCGATGCGGGACTCGATCCAGGGACTCCAGGATCATGACCTGAGCCGAAGGCAGTCGCTTAACCAACTGAGCCACCCAGGCGCCCCTCAATTTCTCTTTCAAGACAGTTATAGTTGATAAAGGATCACTTTACTTTTTATCTAAAAACAGGCTCAAATCAAGTTGTTTTTTCAGTCCCACCCCACTCATTGGTGGAGATTAATAGGGCTGCTAAGAAACACTCAACGAACCACCTTAAGGGAGCAGGTCCAAATATTACTCTTCACACACACACCAACACATGCACACACGTGCACACAGACACACACACATGTCCCTACCTCTTATTACCCACAGAATCTTCAGATGATTCATGGGCTTGCAGGTGCTGTTTTGTAAAGAGCAGCTTGTAATATATCTCTTAATTCAGAACTTGCTATTTTTGTCAACAAACCAGGCAGTTGTCCAAAAAAGAAAAAAAAAATTAAGGCTAACTGATGTTGGTTGAGACTGTACTCTAAACCAAAAAGTTCTAAGTTAGAAGCAGGAGGAAAAAACATCTGCCAGACTGAACTGGGAAAGAGGCCACGTCATAGAAGAATGAGACATTCCTTGCAGGTTGCCAAAAATCTCAGCTCAACCTTGTAAGGCCCAACTGCTTCACAATTACCTCTGTAATCTGCATTAAGAAGCAAACTCAGAAATGGAGCACATAGCATTTAAAATGGCAGTAAGTTTACCCCTGTTGCTCCATTATCTCCTGGTATTTCTGTGGATATTAAAATGATTGGAAAAGGCCATAACGCTCTTGGGTAAAATACTGGGTGTAAAGCTAAACACAATTCCAATCCCATTCCAACTAAGTCCTGCTGGTAAGAAGAAACAGGCATAAAAATTAAGGAGTAAAAAGGAGGGTCATAATACATTATATAGACTCTTAAAGTTTTTATTATGGTAATGCCATTTGTGTTAGTAACTAGTTATAGATTTCTTCAGAAGTGTAAGCCCAGACTTTCATGTTTTTAGCCATTAACATAGAACAGGCTCCTTTTGTCAACCAAAAACCAAAACTCTTGAGCTGAAAAAAATTTAAGTGCTCTATACTTACTGTATATAAAGGATTTTGAAGGGGGAAGTTTTAAGTCTGTCAGATTGCTTCTGGAAATTTCCCATGATAAAATTGAGAGAGACCTAAAAGTCATCTTGCCCATATTCCATTCTTAATGCAGAAATTTCTTCAGTGCTATTAACAGATGATTATTTAGCTTCCACGTGTACTTTTCCCACAAAACACGGATTATTCCAATTATCGGACAAACC